GGTTTATCTTACAAGGGTACAAGTGAATCTTTCTAAGAGTAGAGTATGAACGTTTTAATATAATAACTTAGAAAATGACATGAAGGCTATGTTAACCAGTTTGATGGAAGTGTTTCGGATTGTGTGTGAAACCCCACACTGTACCCCAGACCCCAGAAGTGCATTAATGTACATAGTTACCATTCAATAATAAAAAAAAGAAATGTTCCTCCTGTCTCAGCTTCCTGAGTAGGTAGAACTACAGGTATGCACCAAGAATCCCAGCTACTAGTTTTTTTTAAAATTAATTAATTTATTTATTTTGGTGGGGGGGGTAAAGATGGGATGTTGCTACGTTGCCCAAGAATACTCCTGGCCTCAAGCAATCCTCTGACCTTGGTCTCACAAAGTCATGAGATTACAGGAATGAGCCACTGCATCTGGCCAGGGCCTAAGATTTATCAACAAAAGTCAGAGAAATGGAAGTGCTTATCCACAGAGATAGTCCATAAAGTAAAAAACAGAGAGAAGACTTTGCCCTAGAGAAAACCGATAATTAGGGAGAAGATGGAGGATAGTACAACATAAAAAAGACACTACGTTGCCAAAGGGGATAAAAACCCAGCAGGACCACAGGCCATCACCAAGAAAGGAAAGCTTTAAGGGGGACACAACTGACAATGTCAACTGCAAAGGAAAAATGAGAAAGAGGGGGTGGTGCCTGTGGCTCAATGAGTAGGGCACCAGCCCCATATACAGAGGGTGGCAGGTTCAAACCCAGCCCTGGCCAAACTGCACCAAAAAAAATAGCCAGGCCTTGTGGCAGGTGCCTGTAGTCCCAGCTACTTGGGAGGCTAAGGCAAGAGAATTGCCTAAGCCCAAGAGCTAGAGGTTGCGGTGAGCTATGATGCCACAGCATTCTACCAAGGGCAACAAAGTGAGACTCTGTCTCTAAACAAAAACAAGAAAGAGAATAGAAAACAACACAAGGGGGGCCGCAACTGTGGCTCAAAGGAGTAGGGTGCCGGCCCCATATGCCGGAGGTAGCGGGTTCAAACCCAGCCCCGGCCATAAACTGCAAAAAAAAAAAAGAAAAAGAAAACAACACAAGGCACTGGGCAAAATTTGCTTGTAGGTAAAGCCACCAGAGTAGGTAAAGCCACCAGAGTAAGAAAAGCAGAAAGAACATGTGGAACTAATGTCATAGACTAGAAGCAGTGAAACAGATAGCAGGCATGAAGCACTCATTATAGAGAAAAGTCTGGAAGGCAAACAACTGGACAGCAAACTTGAAGGGACAACAAGGTACAGCAAAGGTTTAATATGAAATTGGGAAATACTTCTGAATTTGATCACAAAGAAAAAGATGGGGAAAAGAAATTATATGGCAATAATGGCTTTTTGAAGAAAAAAAATTAAAAGAAAACCAAACATTTGCACATGCATGCATAGGAAGAAAATTAACCAATGTCCACACTTACCTGGGCTTTCTGTAATGGCGCCATCCGGCAGCACAGCACTGCAGTACACTTCATACAAATTTGTAGGAAAATATTTTTGTAATTGTTTGAACTAGAGTCTTGGCTAGAATTTAGTATGAGTGACAACGTGGAGCCATCAATGATTAATCCATATTCCTGATGTTCTGTCCATGCTCTGAAAAAGAAGACCAATGCTGTGTTTGAATCTATTATACACTTCTATTTAGAATATTGATTTTTTTTTTTAAACCACAAAGAGAAGGATCCAAGATGATTTATCAATCTGGTCTTGACCTGTTCATTCTAAAGAAGCAACTGCCTCTAATGACGGCACAACAGTGACTTTCTATAACACCTTTGAGACTCCGGCTATCCATGTAGTTTATAGTAATTTCTAAAATGTATAGATACAAAGAAGGTTGGGCAGCCTGCCTCTGTATAAGAAATTTAAGGTGAATGTTTCCAAGTATAGATCAATCAAACTCTGATATGGAGACAAATCATCAGTTAATTCAAACTCCCGAATGACATGGGGAAAAGACAAAATGGTTTTACGGTAAACAAATCACAGAGACCTTTCTCTAATATCTTTGCCTAAGTGAAAATGCCTATCCAGAAAAGACAGCTTCTCAAATATGACAGAATATCTAAAAGATATAATATTCATTAAAGAATGCCATATAATACTGATACATATTCTTCTTTTTTTTTATTGAATGGTAACTGTGTACATTGATGCACTTTGGGGGTACAGTGTGGTGTTTTCACACACAATCCATGACATTTCCATCAAACTGGTTAACATAGCCTTCATGTAACTTTCTTAGTTATTATGTCAAAACATTCATATTCTACTCATAGAAAGATTCACTTGTACCCTTGCAAGATGAACCACAGAAGTGAACCCTCGAATCTCTCTCCCTCCACCCTCTCCCCCTCCCTCCCCCCTCCCCGATACATATTCTTTAAATGAGTATTATTTATATTAGTTTAGTGCAGTGGTTCTCAACCTGTGGTCTGCGACCCCTTTGTAACAATGAAAATACATCACAGCATTAGGAAGGTTGAGAACCACTGGTTTAGTGGTTCTCAGATTTCCCAGTAAAAACACTGCGTGGCTTTAAAAAATTGTCCACACCTGGGGTCCATCCCCAGCCCAACTAATTCAGAGCATCTGGGGCAGGGATTGTTATACACAGGTATATTTCACAAGCTCCCTAGGTGATTCTCATGCATAGCCAAAACTAAGAGAGATTAGGTACAGGAAAGACCTAATCTTTAACAGGCGTCAAATACTTAAGAAAACATATAGGGGAAAACTTACAACTGAGAAAACTCTGCCAATTAATATGCTTTTTGCAATTAATAAAAACAGTGATAGGCAGTGCCTGTTGCTCAGTGAGTAGGGCGCTGGCCGCATATACCGAGGTATGGCGGGTTCGAACCCGGCCCCCGCCAAACTGCAACAAAAAAATAGCTGGGCGTTATGGTGGGTACCTGTAGTCCCAGCTATTCGGGAGGCTGAGGCAAGAGAATCGCCTAAGCCCAAGAGGTGGAGGTTGCTGTGAGCTGTGATGCCACTGCACTCTACTGAGGGCAACAAAGTGAGACTCTATCTCTAAAACAATAAAATAAAATAAAACTGGTGGTTATTCAACTTTCCTTCAGGAAATCTTGCGTGCCATTTAACAACCACTGCAGTAAAAGCATTAGATACAGCAGGATCTGTTAGTTACAGATTCAGTTGTCTAATTTAAAGCTTCACAATGTTTAATGTGCAAAGCAATCATCTGGGCATCTTGTTAAAACGCAGATTCTCATTCAGTAGGTCGGGGGTGGGACATGAGAGATTTTGCTTTTCTAATAAGTTGCCCAGTGACAATGGAGCTGCTATTCTATGACTAAACTTTGAGTAGTGAAAGCCTAATAATACACCTCATCATCCTTTTATTCCATATTTCTTCAGTGTATATCTCTAACACCATAATATATTGTACTTATCCATATTTTGCTTCATAATTTCATGAGCATTTTTTTTTGAGACAAGAGTCTTACTCTGTTGCCTAGGTTAGAGTGCCATGGCATCAGCCTAGCTCACAGCAACCTCAAAGTCCTGGGTTTAAGCAATTCTCCTGCATTAGGCTCCTGGGTAGCTGTAACTATAGGACCTGCCACAGTGTCTGCCTAATTTTTCTAATTTTAGTAGAAATGGGGGTCTTGCTCTTGCTCTGGCTGGTCTCAAACTCCGAAGCTCAAGTGATGCTCCTGCCTCACACACTCCAAGAATGCTAGGATTTCAGGCCTGAGCCACCAGGCCTGGCCATGAGCACTCTTTATTCACTAATTAAAGAGACAACCATCATGTGTTCTCTTGCTTCGCTCCTATACTCATGTAACTAACTGGACAGAAAATAGCAGCTCAATAATCATTAAGTAATATTGGTAAGCACCAACTATAAGCAGGCCATATAGAAGAATACAAAGAATTATTGACTAAAATTTTTTTTTTTTGAGAGAACAGAAAATTTCCTTAGAGTGACTGAAGCATACATGAGAGAACATACCCAACCAAACAGGATAATAAATGCTTGATGCCCAGTTATTGGGGCAATAAATGTACACAGGGAAGAACAGTGGTTTCTTTGTGGTGTGGTGTCTCAAATGGGACTCGGAAGATAGGGAAGAAAGAGGTGAACAGACTGTATGTTGTGGTGCACTAGGAAAGCAAGTTGAAAAGGAGGCTTAAGCCGGGCGCAGTGGCTCTCACCTATAATTCCAGTGCTGTGGGAGGCTGATAAGGGAGAAATGCTTGTGCTTAGGAGTTCAAGACTTGCCTGAGCAAGAGTGAGACCCCGACTCATAAGAAAATGAAAAACACAGCCGAGCACCATGGGAAGCGCCTGTAATCCCAGGAGCTTCTGGAGGCTGAGGCAGCAGGATGCCCACAGCCCGAGTTTGAGGTTGCAATGAGCTATGATGCCACTGCACTCTGCTCAAGGCATAGGGTGGGACTCTGTCTCAACAACAACAAAAAAAAAGGTGACTTAAAGTCCTTTGGTGCCGCTGAATCAGTGAGTAATGGAGAAACACTACAGGTTTCAGAGCATGATTGTGCTATAAACAGTGCTTCTTGTGAAGACCATTTACCTGGCAGAAGGGCTTAAGAGATCTGAGGTATGAAGTGCTGGGCCTCTAATGTAGAGCACTTGTGCTGAGAATGGGAGCATAGATAAGCCTTGGGAGCTGAATTAAAGGGGAAGAGGCAAAGGAGCAGAAGCTGTCAAAGGCGATTCTGGGTCTGAAGCCTCTATAATTTGGGGAAGAGACAGCTAAGAAGAGGAGTTGATCTGAGATAGTGATGGTATGATAAGTTTTCCATATACCTTGGCTTTTGCAAAAATACCCCAGAGCTATGGATTCAATCATGTTCCTCCAAAGTTTGTATGTTGAAGCTCCACCCCCAATGTGATATTACTTGGAGATGGGGCCTTTAGCAGGTAATTAGGTTTAGAAAAGTCGTGAAAGTGGGGCCCTCATGATGGGATTTGTTCTTGTTATGGACTGAATTGTATTCTTCCAAAATTTATCTGTTGAAGCCCTCACTCTCAATGTTACGGTATTAGGAGGCAGGGCTTTGGGGGAGGCAATTAAGTTTAGGTAAATTAATGAAGGTGGGGTCCTCATGATGGGATTACTGGCTTTGTAACAGAATAGTCACCAGAACTCCCTCTGCCATTTGAGTACACAGGAAGAAAGGTGCCATCTCCAAACCAGGAAGAGGGCCCTGATCAGAAACCAACCATGGTTACATTCTAGTCACAGACTTTTAGCCTCTAGAACCGTGAGAAATAAATTTTTGTTGTTTAAGCCACCCAGTCTATGTATGGTATTTTGTTATGGCACCCCAAGCACACTAAGACAAAAGGACAAATAAAATTCGTGTCAACTTGGACTATCTGTATAAGTACCATTTGGCTAAAGAAAAAAAAAAACACTTCTCAAAGGCAATTAATAAAAACCTGTTTATTCTCAACGGTGCCCAAATATGAGAAGAACAATAGCTATTTTAGAATTGGCCACAGCTTTATGAATGTGGGCTATTCTTTTCTACAGCTAAATTTAAACATTAGAGAAAAGGATGTAGATGTTGCGTAGCTGTTAAAAGCATGAGCCCTAGAATTGAATGGACTTGGCCACCCCCTATTAGTGGTGTAATTTAAACAAGTCACCTCATCTTGCTGAGCTTAAGTTTCCCTATCTGCAAAATGAAGAAAATAAGATTGCCTAACTGTATTGTTAATGTTGATTAAATGAGAATAATCACACAAAGGACTTAACACTGTTAATGGAACATAAAGTGTGCTCAAGAAATAGAAAATAATATTCCTTATGGGTCTCTGAAGTTAGGGTAGGGAAATTCAAGGGCATCCCAAAAAGGGAAATCAATTTGCTTATGGCCAAGGTAAATTCAAGTAATTGGCTCAGACAAGGCTGAACCTTGATCAATAGAAAGTGCAGAAGATCCATCTGTAGGCACTGAATTATTATGCATCAGTGGCTTTCCTTGAGATGCTTATGTACCACAAGTTCTTCTTAAACAGCTAGCTGAACGCAGAGTTAAAGTGGCCAACTTGTCTTAAAAAAAAAAGAAACACACACACACACACACACTTGCCATGTTAACAATTATATGGTTTCCTTTGGAGTTCTGAGTCAAGAGAGTTCACAGAAAAGTGTTCCAGAAATTAAAGTGCATGAAAACTATTAACAGACTGATTTTACTACATTCCATTTAAGAGACCATGAAAAGGAATATTTTTCACTTAACATAGACAAGACCAGAATATCAACACTGAATACCTAAACACTAAACATTTAAAAATTAAGCTATTTTTCTAAACCCTGAGAAATGCAGAATTTTCTTTAAGTTAAAAGAGAGGTAGAAAATGTCAAATAATCTCAAATGGGCCATTTGCCAAGTCCTTAGGGAAGATTTTAACTTGTAAGGATAAAACACCTGTAAATAGAAAAATGACAAATCACAAAAAATTGTGCTTGTTGCTTAAGCAGCTGTGACTAACATCTGTACCAATGTCTAAATATAAAAAAAAAAAGATGCACTTTCTTACTTTTTAAGGCTTCTGGTATTTTTAGGAAATTCATGCAGCAACTTTTTCCGATATTCAATCAACAATTCATGTAATCGATCTTCTTTCCTTTCACTTTCTTCAATAGTTTTTGTGGTCAGTTCTAAGAGTTCAGTGTTGGTTTGGAAAAGGCGACAGGCATAACATGTGGATTTGGCTGTCTCCATCTTGTCCCCAGTAAGCACCCAGACTTTCAGGCCCGCCGCATGTAGAGCTTCAATGGTCTCTGCGGCTTCATCTTGTAGCCTGGGAACACAAACGCTGTTATCCTCCAAAATTCCTTACCAAGATTCTACAAAAAGGCTTGCTAAAGAGCTTTTTTTACAATTTTTACAATTCATAGCAATTTTAGAGTCCTGATACCTTATCATTGTTGGTTTTCTTACAGATCCCTAATCATTGTGAGAGTGTTATCTCTGGCATGGTTTTATGTATGACAGTAAATTTCAAACAATGAGGCTTAGAAACATTTGTGATAACTTCTGAGGTGTAACTAGTACTCAGTGGCAGAATTGAGAGTTGTTACTCTAAGCTAAAATTGTTCAGAAACTCATCAAACATTCTATCTACTGTCACTTTTGCATATTTCATTACATGTTATATCTCACCATACAGATACTTAACATGGCTCAAAATATAAGAACCCAAACACATTCTATTCAAATACCTAGAGAAGTTAGTAAATCCCCATCCCTGAGGAGCTTTAAGAACAATACCAATCATCTGGAATGAGAATTTAAGTATAATTCTGAAAGATAAAAATAGAAAAATAATACTTCTTTGCGTTCCTTTTGGCCATAGAGTAAGAATGAAATTAGACTAAATGAATTTCATTAGAATTTCAATACCTTCCAATGTGGCTGAATATATCTGCAACTTTTTGTTTGGTTAAATCTTGTAATTTGCATTTATAGAATATAAAATTTATTATTTCAAGTAGATTAATGCTAGAATCCTACAATCATGTCTGAAAGAGCTCTGCCTGTATAGTTAAAAGCACATTATTTTGAAGAATACATAAACACTCTGGTCTGTTATACCAGTTAGATTACGCTCTCATGTTGTTCACTCTACCTTGAATTTCCTTTTTGCTCATCTCTATTAAAATCTTAGCCCTTCTTGTAGGCACCAGCTTAAATGATGGCTCTAGGACCCCTCTCTAAAAATGCCAAGGCTATTTCATAAACATCTGCATAAGTAAATTGATGGTTTAACAAATGTTTAAAAGATCTTAGTGGTAACTGATTCATTCTTCTAAGTTACATGTATTCTTTAACTTAAAAATCATTACCACAAACAGTTCAAAATCTGGCATAATTTTTCACACTTGCTACAATAAATGAATCTTTAAGCCCATTAACACAACCAAACTAGCACTCTGGGAGGCCAGCGCAGGTGGTTTGCCTGAGCTCAGGAGTTTGAGACCAACCTGAGCCAGAGTGAGACTCTGTCTCTAAAAATAGCCAGACTTTTCGGCAGGTAGTCCCAGCTACTTGGGAGGCTGAGGCAAGAGAACTGCTTAATCCCAAGAGTTTGAGGTTGTTGTGAGCTGTGATAATTCGGCACTCTACCGAGGGCAAAAAAGTGAGACTCTGTCTCAGAGAAAAAAAAAAAAAAAGACAACCAAACTAAATCAAAGATTTCACACTTTAAGAATAAATTACTAATCTGAGAGGCCACTCTAAATGACTGGTCAGTTAAATTAAAAAAGTATCACTGTCTAGTTACTTGTCTTCCACTGCAGTGGCTCCAATTAAATTCATGTTTGTCTCAATTTCATCAATGATCTTTTCCATTTTTTCTTCTCTGTCTTGTAAGGCCATTTTTGCCTCTAAGAGCTGTCTGTTAATTGTTTCATAATCATCTGGAGCAATTTCTTTGAAGGCTACACAGAGTGTCCGATACCCCTCCTAGAAGTAAAGGAGGAAATCTGTAGTTACCTTAATAGTAATGGAAAAAAGCACACATTCTTGTTAAATTGCTTTACCCATATGTACAAAAGAGAAATTCTGACATGTTTTTAGTTTAAAATTTGAACAGATTCTAACTAAAAAGGTAACATTCAATTAGGTTCAGAATAATAAAATAATGGCTCTTTTAACAAAGATTCCTGAAAAGTCTTCAAGGCTGCAAATTCTGACCAGAAAGCTGCTACAGAATATTTTACATTAAAATAAGAAAAGTAATATTATTAAATCCCCAAATACAAAAAAAGTAAACCACAAAAATGAGTTAAAATTCATTTAAAAATTCATTTAAATACCAATTCTGATACACATAGTCATCTCTAGCATTTCTCTGTTTACTTATTGGTAGGAGGAGGGGTGTAGGCTCACCATTGCATTACGTTCCACATGGACTTTAGTTAATTCAATTTCGTGATTTTGCACCCTGGGGAAAACTGCTGAGTCTGCTCCTTTACAAAAGAGAAGTATGTCTCCTAAAATAAAGAACCAAAGCACTTGACTTAGAATTTTAAGACTGGCACTAAGAGCCCTTAAGGTGGACTGACTCTCCCAGCCAGGTGTTGTGTATTCTGAGCCTTGCAAAGCTCACCTAAATGGAATGAGAAATCTTGACCGTTAGTCTGTCAGGAGAACATTTGCCATCTATTCAGGCCATTACAGACACAACTAATAAGCCAGAGTTTACAACATGCATCTCTGTTAAAATATAAGTCCTCCTAGTAAATCATAAAGGACTGGGCTTGTCAAGGAGCTGTAACTGAATTATTTTTGAAAATGTTGTCAGGCATGGCCTAGAGTGTACACTTGGCATCTACGTATGTCAAGGACCAAACTCAAGTTCAAATGAACTGAAATCATTTTGAATGAACTATACAAATTAGCTTTTAAAACTCTGGCATAATAGTTTTTACTGGAAATTTGAGAATAATTTATTTTGGAATTCTGGTACAAGTGCAACTTTAGATCAATTCATGCACCCAAGGAATATTCACATTTGAGCACTAATAAGGGAAATAGCTGAGTTTAACAAATTAAAAAGTGTACCTCTGAGGTCAATAACCTTTGCAAACCACATCCCCTGACATTTCACAATTTATAGTAGAACATATACATGGATGTACACACACAAGAACAACGAGTATTTAAGATATTAAGTGTTTTTTTCTTTCATTTCTTCGTACACATCTAAAATGTGTTTGAAAGTTATAAAACAAATTCCAGTCACATACTGAATTCTGTGACTTTGTAGTCACACCACAAAATATGAGTATGGTGGGATATATTCCCCCAAGAGACTGTCTGCATCTTTCCATTGTCACATTAAGGGATTTAGAATAGATTTAATGCTAAAAAGTAAACTACTGGGAAATAAATCAAGGATCTTTTAAAAACAAACCACCTGGGTACACCCCCCCCACACACACAAGCATGTGCAGAAAGCCTGCAAATGAAGGAGTGCTCCCCAAGGAGTGCGTGCAGAATCTGAGCAGAAGGCAAACCACCATGGTGCCTCTCAAAGACATGGGGGAGCCCAGGATGATGGTTTTGGTTCTCCTGCAAAGGGCACACTTTACTCTGCCAAACAAAGAGCCCGAGCTCTAGTGTGAAACTGCCATGTCCTTTCCTGGAAGCCTATCCCTTAGTTATCTCTACCTCACCTACTTCCAGGAAGTATGTGTATAAAGCACCAGGAGAACCAGAAAAGTAGGAAGGGATAACCAGCAACTCTCTGCGCTCAAGGCTTCTGCTGTTAGTAGTCTCAGACCACCCAACTATACTGAATTGCTGCCTGGAAATATCATTGGTGACTAGTTAGTACCCTGAACCATATAAAAGTCACCCTATCAGTTCCTGTTTGGACACCAAGGCAGAAGAATACAATTCTCTTTCTAAGAAAATGCATATGATGTCGTATCAGGGATTCTGCCACTGATAGTTTGGCAAATTGAAAGTATGTCCTTGGCTCGGCGCCTATAGCTCAACCAGCTAAGGCGCCAGCCACGTACACCTAAGGTGGCGGGTTCGAATCCCCAGCCCGGACC